ATCGTACAAACCAATCTTGACATGGCAGGCGCCACATGCTCATATCTAGCAACTTTATTTTTCTTCCTATTGGAAGAAGTCATGTTAATCACAGGATTTTCGGCAGCAAGCAGACCCTCACAAGCAATGGAGAAAGTCTTCAGTTTTCTTAACCAATATTTCTTGAGCAGGCAGGGAAGATCTCTTCTTTCCACCTTTATTTATAATAGGCTCCACGACAGTGTTTAGACGAGCCAATACATCCGCCTTGATCCTCTTTACCTTCTTTCTCGGGAGCAACCCATATTTCTCTCTGCAAAGAAAAATAAGCATCCCACGCTATTCACAATACTCAACAGGGGAGCTCAACCCATATTGGTTTTTCCCTTTTTTTTTTCTCGGACCAGCAAGTAGGAGACCTGCATGCCTAACATTCTAACAGCCCATGAGGCCCACGACCTTTTCATTTCTCTCAATCGCCGGCTTGTTTCGCGTCAGGACTAAGAGCCCAAAGGACATGAACCATGCTGCTCGCCTAGCATTGCGCCTCAGTGCCTCAATTCGCAACCCCAGCCGTTCCAGCTGCCTTTGGCTCTAGCCAAGCCAAGTAGCCCAAGCTATAGTCCCTGCCACAACACCTTCTTGGCCCATGCTGAGTTGACTCCTAGCCCCTGCCAGCCGACGTGCCGTACCACCCCAACGTAAGAAGACAAGGAAAATTAAATTTTTCTTGCCTCGGTGCAGAGCGGAGAAGACGAAGAAAGCAACGAAAGACGATCTTTTAGACGTGCAAGGTGTAGAAGATCGTTAGAGGAGGGGGAACAAATATCCTCTAAGCTCTCTCTCTCTTGTAGGGTATAATAAATTGCTCTCCAAAGTTGATTTAATAACCCACTTAAGGTGGACTTAAATGTGCTTTGAGAGAAATTTATTTCCCTTTCCTATAAGGATCTAATTTCCTATTAAAGAAGGAATCAACATCAAAATAGGAAACAATCTTATGTTTCCTCAAGCAAGAAGATCTCTACACCTGCTGCTCTTTCCTGCGAGCAACCTAATAGGTGTGGGGGCATTTGTGGAGCCAAAAATAATCACAAGGCAACACGTGGATTTTTGGGTAAAAATGACAAAATTACCCTCGAGGCACATCGGGATTCCTACGCGCGAGTAGTGGACAATCATCACTCAATCAAGTCAAAGGTGCCCAAATAGGTATTTATTTTTAAACCTATTTCATCCGTCCTCAACATATCTTCTCCACAAGGTAACCTCCAAAACATTCCTTTTAAATTATGTTAATTAGCTAATTAATAGATTTATTACCTAATTAAACTACCAATCATAACCAAAAAGTACACAAGAGGTCAGTCACCTTCTCTCCCAAAGGGACCGACCATGCATTATATATTTGACCTCATTTTCTCTAAAAAGTTAGGTCTACACTCTTGCTAAACACTAAAAAATTCTCCAAACACTTTTCCCTCAAAATTCTAACTTTGGCATTGGAGGTTTTTCGGCCAAAGCCCCCTCCCCCCAAATTCATCGTGGGCGCATGAGGCTTTTGGCCTTGACCTAAGGTGTTATTTGTTTTGTAAGTGCAATTTTGTCCAAGAATAAGAAGGAAGAAATTTGCATCCACAATAGCAGAAGCAGTTTTTTAAAAGGCACAACAATACCAAACTAGCCATAAATGCAATCTCTCTAGTATTTTCATATTTTCATAAAGATATTTTTTTTGAAGTGTCATATAAATTTATACATATTTTTAAATTTGTATATGAATTAAATTTTAAGCAATTTGTCATATGAATTTTTTGAAATTATTAATTTGTTATTTCACCTAACTCTATTAAGTTTTCCATTCAATTGAAACATATATAAACACACGAAACACATATGAAAGACACGAAACACACAAAACCCCACGAACACATATGAAACACATGATACACATATAAAACACATAATAGAGATGCATAATACACCAAACACATGAAACACACACAACACATACAAAATACATATGAAACACATGAAACACAACCTTCAACCATCCTCTATATAAGCATAGGTTTAATATCTAACCATCACACAACATATTCACCAATCATCCATCTTTCATAATGTTTCTGTTTCCTTAAAATCATCCAACTTTCATAGTATTTTTGTTTCTCAAAATCATCCAACTTTCATAGTATTTTTGTTTCTCAAAATCATCAATTTCTCGTCAATGGGTGACATAGGAAGGCGTAACTTGTCAATGCAAATGACACAATACCAAGTAAATGTTGCAGCTGGGGAAGTAGAAATGAATAATGAAGAAGTCAAACTTGTAAACTCACTTATGCAATATGGGCACCATGCTAAATCTAGTTATCGTGGTTCTATCACAGGTCGGCCATTTGTGCAGCGTGATAGAGAAGAGTATCATGATCGGATAATGAAAGACTATTTCATCGAACGTCCGAGATATCCTTCTCATGATTTTCGAATGAGGTATCGGATGAGAAGAGAACTTTTTGAAAGCATCTTGAACACAGTTGTCCATCATGACCATTACTTTGCAAGGAAGATAGATGTCGTAGGCCGACAAAGTCTATCACCTCATCAGAAGCTCATATCTGTATTTCGGATGCTAGCCAATGGGTGCTAGTACATTGGCAATATTTTTAAGTGAATACAAGTGTACAACAATATGACATCAAGTCTTTTGTCTAGTACATTGTTAATAATTATTGATGGCACCCTTGAATTATTGAAGGCATCTAGTGTACAACAATGTGTGTAGCAATGTGTCCAACAATTATTTAAGACATCTAGAATAAGCAAAAAGAAAAAGTATTGTTATATTAATAAGTCATAAAACCAGATCTAGAATAAACCATAAAAAAATGCATAATTAATAAAGACAATAATTAGCAATTAGCACAATTAATAGCACAAATCGGATCTTGAAAGAATAAACTATAAGTAATAGAAGCAATAGTTAATAACACCTAATTAAAAGAATAAATTATATAAAATTAATACAATGATAATTAATAAATTACATAAAATTAATATAAATAATAATTATTAAACTACATAAAAATTAATACAACAATTAGTGATCATAATAATATTCACCACTTTGACTTGGTTGTGGATTTTGTGGTTGACTTTGAATATAGGCTTGAGATAAATCATCATCTTGAAAGATACTCCTTGTGGCATTCTTTTGCATAATTTCCTTTTGCTTATCATGGAAGAACTTCTTCCTATTTGTAGTGTATTTGTTGAGGTCCTCCCTCATCATATCAAAATTGAACCTTTCTTGCTCCATTTCTACTTGCTTCTCAAATGCCAAGAGTATTTGGTCAGTTCTTCCTCCCAAAAGCTATGGCTTTCGGTCAATTTTGCAAATCCAGAAGAAATCGTTACACTAACCCGATCTTACATCTTCCCTTTTCTCTTTGCTTGTTTTTGCTTATCTCTTCCCGGAGGTCTTGCAAAAGAAGAAGTTGGGGTCACTAAACACATTCAATGATAACATTTGTGCTTCCGGCTTCACTACCAAATAATTTTCCCCATTGTTGGTCTGCATTGGTTCCCCACCTTGGACAATCCTTGAGGACGTCTCAAGCATGGTGAAACTTAAAAGCTTGATTTTTGGGCGTAGTTCTTGTCTTGTAAATCACCATTTCTTTCTCACCCTATGCAAGGAATACATAAATACAATTAGTTGCAAAATAAGATTATGTACATGACAAAATAAAATATCAACAAAGACACTCATCACTTCTACGACGCTTTTTCCACTAGCCATGTTAACCACGACTCTCTCCAAGCTTCCCTTCCATAAAGAGTATTTGGTCAGTTCTTCCTCCCAAAAGCTATGGCTTTCGGTCAATTTTGCAAATCCAGAAGAAATCGTTACACTAACCCGATCTTACATCTTCCCTTTTCTTTTTGCTTGTTTTTGCTTATCTCTTCTCGGGGGTCTTGCAAAAGAAGAAGTTGGGGTCACTAAACACATTCAATGATAACATTTGTGCTTCCGGCTTCACTACCAAATAATTTTCCCCATTGTTGGTCTGCATTGGTTCCCCACCTTGGACAATCCTTGAGGACGTCCCAAGCATGGTGAAACTTAAAAGCTTGATTTTTGGGCGTAGTTCTAGTCTTGTAAATCACCATTTCTTTCTCACCCTATGCAAGGAATACATAAATACAATTAGTTGCAAAATAAGATTATGTACATGACAAAATAAAATATCAACAAAGACACTCATCACTTCTACGACGCTTTTTCCACTAGCCATGTTAACCACGACTCTCTCCAAGCTTCCCTTCCATAAAGAGCACGCTTTGTTGATAACCTTCCACTAATCGTAAACACTACCAACTTCCCTTTGGGCGATTTTGGAGTTTTCATTAAACTTATCAACGATTTTAGCCCACAAAATCTTTTTATTTTGATTCATGCCAACGATACCATCTTCGCTAATACAAATCCATGCCAAGCACAAAGCAACATCTTCCTCATATGACCAATTACAACCTCTAATATGATCTTTTGTTATCTTGAAAAATTTGGAAATGGGAAGAAAATGGTTTTGGAAGATGGTAGAAAGAAAAATATGAAGAATTGTAGGAGAAAAGTGATATTTGTGTGGATATTTGGGCTTCAACGCTGGCTAACCAATGACCCATTTAAATTGTGGTCGTATGATTAGAAAAAAGAGCTGTTGGGATTATTATTACAACAGACAAGTGGGTGACAAGCCCATGTGGGTGGGGTTGGCCTGTTGCAGCTCTTGGCACGTGCGTGAATAAATGCTGGACGTTTGAGCTTCAACGCTGGATTTTCACTCTCACATGTAGCCCACACCACTAATCTTAAGCCCAAATCCTAGTCGAAATTTGTCCAATTTATAAATTTTAAACACATAAACCTCATTTTGACCCAAGAGTTGGTGTTTTGGGGGTGGAATAGAACCCAAATTTTGAGACTTGCTCCAAAAAAAAAAAAAAAAAAAGTAGAAAAAGAACCGTGTTGATTTCAGGAACACAATCCCGCGCTTATTCAAAGCAGAGGCGGCGTAACCAAAACCCGACCTCACTGTCTCGTTGGGAGTCGACTCCGCCTGGGTTTCCGTACTCCGTTCATTTCCGATCACCATGTCGGAGCCAATCGTCCTCTCCGACGAAGAAGATTCATCCCCATTCCAACTGTTCCACTGTAAGAAACGCCGAACTGAACCAGACCTAAATCCAAACCCGAACCCGAACCCGAACCCAAACCCTACGGTTCTCGTCCTCGACGACGACCCTACCCCACAGAAGCCCCGCCCCACCTCCACACCTATCGTCGTCCCGGAGACCCCCATGTCTGATCTCGCAATTGTGAAATGCACGAAAGCCCCTTCTGACTTCCAATCTAGGGTTTCAGACTCCGATCACAACTTCCCTGGTTGGTTGATTTCATTGCTATTGGAAATGTTTACTTTGCTTTTTGTTTAATATAATTCCTTATCTATTGCTTCTTGTGATAATTTTATTTTTGAATTAGTTTTTTTACTGTTTTGCTTCAAGTAATTGGTGCGTTTTACTGTTCTGTTCGGATCAAGTGGAATTAGTTTTGATTTCTGTTTCTCTGAAAATGCTGGAATTAAAAGATGGTGAATCCTCGAGTTTTAGCACAATATAAAACTGGTTCAAAAGATGGTTAGAAAAAAGTGTTTTGGCCAGAAAAGCTTATGATCAAATGGACTTGGATTTTAGGGATTTCGTGTCAGAGAGAAAGGGTTTTGGCAGTTTGGAGGAACTGCGTGAGGATTAATGTTGAAAGGGTTTTATGGATTATGTGAAATATGTCACTTGTTTTGTGATTCCTCACTTTGGTTGCTGAAGGTTTGAGTATTAATGTTGAAATCTTTATTTACTTGTCAATATTAGACTTTTCCTTTTCGTACCGATACACATTGACTTCACTGGTCTTTTGTTTATATTCAGGTGTTAATGGATTGATATGTTTGGAATCTGATAATGAACCTGAAAGTGGTCGTGGAAAGCAAAAGGAGAAAGAGAATGAATCGATCACTAGTGGCTTTGGTGTGGTGGAGGACTTAGATTGGAGGTTTAGTTTTGTCGAGTCCACATATCCTCTTGGTATGTTAATGTTGTATCTGGAGTTCCTTTGATCAGGGTTGAGGGATGACCTTTATTTATTGGTTTTGAGTGTGAAAATATTCAACAAAATGATTCCACTCTCTGGAAGATGCTTTCCTTCTAATATGGACACCTATTTACATTCTTATCAGGAGATGATCTAGCACATATGTCTGAGGGGAATTCTTCACAACCAACTTTGCAAGATGATATTGATCAGGTATTTTGACCTGATTCATTGTGGTAACTTTTATCCCCTAAAGATTATTGAACGGTTGTGGAGTAAGCAACACCTTTGGCTTGTGTTCCTAATTAAGGTCAGATGTTATAATTTCTGTTTGTGCAATTGACAGCCTCACCTTTCTTGTTTAATAATTATGTTTGTTTGGTCAGAGACTTGCCTCTTGTTACTCATGTTTTTTTTTTTTTTTTTGGGGGTATAATCTCTGTGTGAGGCATTATATTTTCAAGAATTTAGACAATACATGGTTCCAAATGGTACAAAGCTTGTAAGAAGTGAAGTGAGTAAAGTCCCATGTTAGGAAAGATGAGGAAAAGTTCTATGAAGTAACACCTAATAATAAACATGAGACATTACTCGAGTAGTTATTTATCTTTCAATCAGAAACTTGATGAATTTCAGATTCTTTCTGATTTGGATAAAAAACTGATTGAGGAAGACATTTCAGATAGGAATGGTGAAAGTTTCATCCTGCAGTTTCCAATGGATGACAATTCACATTAGAAGATATTAGTCCAGTTATCTTCTAATCAGAAACTGGATGTGTTTCAAATCTCTTCTTTTGAGTGGGCCTTGCTCTTTGAATCCAATTATTATGTGTGTAGAATCTCCATGACCAGCCATAAAGGTATTGAAAATGCCCACTAGACCTTGTTCTTTAATGTAACCAACGGCAATAGACTAAAACTGAGCAAAATAGAGAAAACTAGAAAACACACAAGACTTATACTGGTTTGGCAGAACTTTTGCCTATGTCCAGTTGTGATTTCTCTAGGTAGAGAAATCACCGCTCCTTTGATTAATAATAGAGATTATAGAACTTTTGCAAACCCTAGAACTAGTCTCTCTCACTTGTCTCGGCTATCACAGTTTTTCTCGTAAGCCTTGCCGCACCCTATTTATAGGCATAGGGTGCACTTTACATGTCCTTTACAGATTATAATTCCTATTCTAAGTGGAATAGGAAATTAGACTTCCTTTCCAATTCCAAATAGACTTCTAGGATGTCTAATCTAAATTGGATAAGGAAACTAAGATTCTTTCCAAGCCCTTTTAGGAGAAGAATAGGTGCACCTTTTTTTTTCCCTAAAACAATCCTAAACAGAAAAGGACACTAATTGACGAGCCAAAACCTAACAAAAGGTTCACTTTTTTGAATTTCTTATTTTATATGAAGGTGTTTCACTTCTTTGCTGCTATTTCACACCTTCAATTGGGTATTTATCCTCAATGTAATGACATGCCGAGATTAGGTACTTGATTATGCTGAGAAAGAAAATATAATGGATCAGATGGGCAACATTACAAAACCGAGAAGAAAAACTAAAGTTGTTACTGATAATGAAAATACAACAAAAGAAGCAACAGAAAGAAAGAAGCTGGCAAAAGAGGAACGGACACGCTTAATGGAGGAAAAGAAGCTCAAGAAGCTAGTAAGTTGTTATTATGATTTGAACTTTATTTTTTCTAACAGAACAATAAGCTGATGGATATCCATGAAAAACAGGAAGAGAAGTTGCAGAAAGAAGCTCTGAAAGCTGAAGCAGCAGAGATGAAAAAAATCCAAAAAGAAAAGCAAAAGTGGGAAAAAGGGAAGTTTGCCTTAAAATCCATCGTGGCTGAGATTGATTCTAAAGTTGTGGAGTTGGGGTCAGTTGGAGGTCTGGTGTCATTCCTCGTTTCTGCTGAAGTACTTTGCATGTGCTTTTATATCTGGTAGCTGATACCTTTTTAAACTGTTTTGTAGGAAATTTGCTTACAAGGTTTGCTGAAAAAGGGTTAACATATCGTATAACATCAAATCCAATTGAAAGATCAATTGTCTGGACCATGACTGTTCCAGAACATCTTTCACAGGTAATAAGCTATCGTATTAGTTGTAGTGTTATCATATCACCTCGGACTCTAGTGGGATTCATAAAAGCAAAACTAGCTGGAATTTTTCTTCAAATAACTTCTGTGTGGTTCAACATTATTAGCCTTTGTAGCTTAATGGATCATAAAATTAGGCCACTTCAATTATTGTATAAAAATAGAAACCACATCATTAAAGGATAATTGTGGGTGTTATATTGTGTATTGCTGGAAGACTCACGAGTCGCTACCAAAGGTCTATGATATAATGATTGACTACTGTTGTGTTGCATCTTCATGGGTTATGTGAGTGGCTAGGTCAAGATCATTCTTTAAGGATTTCATGAGCTTCCTGCCTCTCAGATTAATTATTCAGAGGATGCCTTTACACGTCTTGTTAAAGTTTATGACAAAATATTATTTTTTGCGCTAAATAAAGGAATTAGAATTTATTTTTTTATGCATCCAATTCGTCCATGTATTAGCATAATATTATACATCTATTAACCTGAATATCTAATTGCAGCTTTCGCCCAAAGAAACAGAAATTCAATACATGTTGCTTGTGTATGAAGCTGAAGAATTTTGTAATGTTGTCATCAATGAATCTCTTTTGGATCATGTTCTTAGTGTTCGAAGTCAATATCCATCTTATACAGTGTGTTGTCTTACAAACAGGTTGATGGCATACATTAAGAAAAGGTGAGAGATTGCTAATAATATGTACTGTATCTTGTATTAGAATTTTACCTAGCTAAAGATATTGCACTGAAATTTTCATGTATCGAAAAATGAAAATAAAAATGAACGGTGAACATGATTTAGATAATTAGTCTATGGATGATTTACTAATGTTATATACTGTTGCTTTCGCTTGGCCAGTGCCCTGCCCTGTGAGCATACTTATTTGTTTTTCTTTCTCATTATCTATTTAGTTAATTCATTAGAACATGCGAAATTCAGTGGAGTACAGAAACTATATTATAACTTGGACGCTGATTTCTACATCGTATGAAATGAAAGGTGACAGACATGGACTGTTTTTGTTTTATTTTTGTAAGAGAAGAAACACAAAAGTGGTAAACTTGAGTTCACTAATCATTTGGATGGTAGCTCAACATAGTTGATTATGCGTCTGAAGTGTTCTTATCCCCTTCAGTAAGTAATTGCCATTCTATTCAAATAGGAGCAATTGATAAGTAAAAGAACAGATTATCAGAAAGGATACACTTTATTTTCTTCATTTCAACTGGAGAGAATTTATATCCTTGTTGGGTATCATCATTTTATTATGATTACCCGTTAAATATCACATCAATAAAACAACCTGTGATGTTAAAAAAAGTTACTCTATTTTATTGTGTTTCCATTCAGATTGGTGTACTTTTTAAACAAATTATAGAATGTTTAGCTTTATTAACATGCCTTCATTTGTGTTATCCATAGAAATTCTTAAAATGTGTTTGTGAGAAGCATGCAACAATATTTTGTAAGATCTTATGTCTTTTTTTATTTTTGATCTATAAAATTTACTGTTTTTTAATTGTGATCTATAAAATTTACTGTTTGTGATGGCATGGCAGTTGCAATAGCTATTCTCCACCTTACAATAATTTTACTTCTTGGATTCGTGCATACGGAGGGTGTAATGCTGCATCACATTGAGTTTTTTCCTTTTTTAAAATGTTAGGGAACAAGAACTGTACAAGAACCCAACAATTCATAATAGCTGGAGACGCCCACCTGTTGAGGAGGTTGGAATACTAACACTTGGGTTTATAAGACATTAATACTTTCTGACAGTGAATCTTTAAATTCATAGTATTTTGACCTCTATTCCTTTCGAACAGGTGCTGGCAAAATTGACCACTAATTTTTATAAAGTACACTCCAGGCAGTGCGCAGATGAGGCTGAACTTGCTGAACATGTTGTTGGTTTAACATGCAGCCTGTCATCTTGCCAATTTAGGTATTTGATGCTTTTACTTTTCTACTGAACTCAGAACCTTGTTACGGTTTAAGTGTGCTGTTAAAATCTATTTCCCACCAAATACAAGTTTTCTGGCCTCAAGATTTTCTAAATGCATTATACATTAATTATACACACTCATCTCCTCTAAAAAATTCTGTCCAAGGATCACAGAGCTTCACTCATGTTCCAACTTATCACTTGTTTTTCGCTCTATTTTTAGGGCTTGTTTGGATTTGCCACTCTAAAAAGTGCTTTTTCTCACTAGCGCTTTTTGTCAGTAGCACTTTTTTGTAGGCTTCTACAAAAAAGCAGTGTGTTGTTTGGAAGCAACTAAATAGGTGCTTCTACATTGCACAAAAGTGCTTTTGATACTAAAGTATGGTGATAAGTTAAGGACATTATTTTCCAAGGAGCTCCTCTCTCTTTCTTTGTACCAGATATGCATCAACTTCATCTCATATCATATTGATATGCACTGTTCATTTGAAAAACATGAGAAAGGTTGATGTAAATCATCAAGGTTTCTGATTTTTTTTTGAAAAATCAAGGTTTCTGATTTAGTGTGCAAGTTTTTTATAACCTGTCTCTGTTTGAACTTTGAACACCAACCTCCAGCAGAAAACTAAAGCAACGGATCCAATTTTTTCCTCCCCTTCCAAATTTGCTGCTGCAAATTGCAATGTAATTTCTTGTCCAATAAATATACTTAAAATATATACAATTCATCAAAAAACAAATAAACATATATCTTCCTCTTCTCCCCAATAACCAGTCTCGCACCACCCATAGTGAATCTAGGCAATCTTTCTTCAATTTCTTCTAATGGTTTTCCATTTTTCATGTGGCCTTCTTCAATTCCATTGAAATATTAATTTCTATGGAACTTTTGCAAGTGGATTTTGTCAATGAATTCGTACTAATTGTTGAGGATTAATTCCATGATATCAATTTCGAAATGGAAGTGCTTTTACTCATTAGGAAGCGCTTCAACTCTCTTAAACCACCATCCAAATGAGCCCTTAATTACGTAGAAAATGATTGTATTATCACTTGACGTAGTTTCCATTTCCTTGTTAAAATTCGCTTTCCCTTTGCATTTTCATATTTTAACTTATCAATATTCTGATTCTGCATCTTGTTTGAATTTACAGAAAGAAGTTAACGAGACTTGATGTAAATGCTAATGGATCCCTTATCCCTAAGGACTGCATTGACCGAACTTCAATTAAAAAGAGCCCATGGTGAGTAACATGATATTAACAGACTGATCATTATACTAGAATTAGAATATAAAAAGATAGCAGATTCAGAGAAGGATGGATTGTGAAAAGAAATAATAAGCTGCGGCTTCATATGATGAAAGTAGTAACCAGTGATAAGATGAAGCTTATTTTTAGGGGTCTGAACTCTGAACTGTGTAGGGCCTGTTTTGGAGTGCTTCTACACAAAACACTTATGCTCATAAGAGATTTGTTAATTATTATTATTATTTTGAAAATTCAATCGCTTCCTCAAGGAGTAGTTGAAAGCACTTATTAACTGTTCTATCAAACGCTGCCAAAGATGCATTTGGTGCTTCTAAAAGCACCGTCAAATAGACCTTTCATTATTGTTCCCAGCACTCTAGGACAGAAAGGGCAACAAGAACCATGCACGATTAAAGTGGAGAGAATACAGAAAGACCTGCAACCTAATTGTCTAGTTGGTTGGGACAATCTGCCTTCCTTCAAGCCCTCCAACAATTGCCCCACAGAATTGGACCATGAACTTCCAAACTAAAACCAGATTTCTGGAATTTATGCTTATGAATAAGTCTTATTTAAATAAAGATCTCAAACACCAGTTCGAAATAGTTTCACGTAATCTTTTTCTTCTATTAGTTATCAACCAAACCTTCTCTGTACAGATTAGTTTGATTTGTATGTTTTTCATATTTGTATCAATTTTATTTGTGAGCATTTTATTTTTGTTACTAATTATTTTATTCGTCCAGGTTAAAAGCTTTGGTAGCTATCCCTAAGGTACAACCGCGATTTGCTATTGCTATATGGAAGAAGTACCCTACCATGAAATCTCTTTTGAGTGTTTACATGGACCCAAATATATCAGTAAGTGAAATATGCCTCTTTTTCTTTAAGTGTTTTGATGTATTTGCTTCAGTCTCTTTGGAGTGTAAGGATACTTATTTCTTTACAACATTTTTTTTTCCAACTTGGAATGGAGTTTGTAGAGTTTTCGGTTCCTTAACTGGTTCTCTGTTGTTTTTAAAATTTTGATGCTGTTTAGAAATATCTAGTTCTTTGCTCCAGTGGACATCTTGTCCATTGTTTGCACTATTGCTCTCTTAATGAAATTTTGTTTCCTATTAATAGAGAAGTAACGTTGTAAAAATTTGTAGATCAATACAGTAGTAACAAGTTAAAGTTTGAACATTGCTCATCCTTTCCGTTGTATAGGAGCCCTAAGGGCATGTTTGGAAGATAACATCTGCAATCTTGGGTTACATTTCACTAGTCTGTGTTTGGAAACCGAGATATTAACAAATGCAATACATTATAATGAAACTTCCAATTTCTAAACCCTAGATTTGGATTAGGTACTTTAATGTTTCTTAGAATTGAGGCTAAATTTGTTAGGAATGCACTACCAAAATTAGACAGAGCAACATAAAAATGACTAGACGTAATATATGTGAGAGAACTTTTGAGCGACTCTTTGATAGGTGTCCTTTTGGAAATCCTTTGTTTAGTATCTTAGTGGTGCATTTCTAATGTTTTGGTAGTAGCTTGTAGTGCTTGAGTAGTTCATTGGTAGTGTCCTTGTAGGGCATTTAATTTCCTCGAATTGGTAAAGTTTCTTACTTAAATACAAAATTTAATATGCCAATTAATAAAAGAGAGGTGGTAGTTGGAAAATGTGCTGGTGGGTTTAGTGGTGGTAGTGCAGGTAATGGTGGTAGTAGGACAACAAGAGGTGGTGGTGCCAACGAGTGGGGTGGGAGTGTAGGTGATGGTCATGGACTAGTGGTGGTAGTACTGTGGTGGTGGCAGCATTGCCGGGAGTGCAGATGATGGTCACGGAAGTTTGGAGGTAGTAGAGGTGGTGGTGGGCACCGAGACGGTGATGATAGTTGCAGGGTTGGTGGCTGCAGCAGTGGTGGTGGGCATGTATGGGTTCTCTAACCTTGTGGAATTATAAATGACAATTGTTTATATGGATCTTAAAGTTGAGATTTATTACTTTCAAATTCCAAGTTTCTTTTTTTCTTTCCACACAAAACTTCTAAATCTATCTGATTATGAATCAAAAGAGGGAAATGGGTATGTCTCTTAATTATTTTGAGTTTTGTCGAGATTCCATGTTTATTTCCCTCATCCAAATGGAAATCCCTAATCAAAACATTGTGTAAAGGAACTAAAAGTCACCATCCTCTCATTTACCAAACAGATTTAAAAGGATTTGGGCTAACTTTAGGTTTAACTAGGTGAGAGAAGTTTGGGTAAGGAGGATGGAGGGAAAATTTTGCCATAGAGTTAGACTACTTGCTTCTCTTTGTACATCATTTGTCAAAGCATTCCAGGAAAATTCCTTTTAGAATAATTATTCTTGATTGGGATGGGGAAGGGAAAAGTTCGAGCTTAGGGTTGACTGATTTTTCTCTTGAGTGTATTGATTGGTTTACAATGTGAGGTGAAATTACTCATTTGTCCCCATATTTTATGAGAAAACAGAAGGATTAACGGAAGGAGTTATATGTCATTAGGCACAATAGTAGGACTCCAGGAGCTAGTTGAGGAACCAAAATGTAACTCGTCTAGAAGTTCAGGGGCCATTGCTACACTTAAGCCAAGCATATATTTCTAATAAAATGAATGATTATTATGTTTCCTTGAGAGCCTGCAATATGACAACGGAGCAATATGTTTTTTCATTGTGATATATATTTGCTTGAGAATTAACTGTAATACAACCATCCAATATACAATATAATTTTATCATAGGCTTACATATGGAAAGCCCTTTCGATTATTGAATGGTCATTTCTATGTCATTGTGAAAATCATTTTCTTTGTTGTCTCTTAAAACAAAAATGGAAAAAAATGGCTTTGATAGAGTTTGTAGAGACAACAACTTGGAGGTTAAGTATGCAATGTTAATTGTTATCATTACAAGATTGATATTTGTTTACATATATGATATATCCCATGCTTCACAAGGCATGCTTACATCTATCAGCAATTCAGTACGCACATAGCTAATATCAAGGCAGAACTCAACATTGTTTTGTCTTGTATTTTTTCCTGAGTGTGGCCTTTCAGCTTGTTGACTCAGTGTACTCCCTACGTCGAACAATGAATATTTTCAGTTCTAATTACTTCTATGTATAGGTTCATGAAAAGGAATTTCTGCTCAAGGACTTGACAACAGAAGGTTTACTTGGTGATGACAGAAGATTAGGTGACGTTTGTTCCAAGAGAGTGTACAGAATACTTATGGCACAAAGTGGGTGCATCAAAACTGATGATATTGAGGATGGTGCTGATTTTTTCCGGCGTTGAATATCATTTATCTGGACAAAATAAGGTACGCATATGCTGCCTCTTTATCTACAATTTATTCTGCAGCGGAGCCATATCTTTTAGCAAAATGTTCTTTTTGGATCAATTACAAGTTGCATACTGTATTTACCAGTCAGTTTAATTTAGTACCAACTCTAGAAAACCATTCAAGTCAAACTCAAAATTGAAATGCGGCTATTTACTTCGTTGTTCTGACCATGCGACCTTTGAGGATCGAAAGTGTTTTTTTAACCCCAAGTAAATTGAGAATATTCTAAAATGCAAATGGCCCGTGTGGGCTTCTCCACCTCTACGAAAATTATGGTGCCATTGAGCTTCTTTCCAAAAGTCTTGTGGGTTCAACCTCCACCAGGCCACAATCACACTTGTTTGTCCCCACCATTAATTGATACCCAAATGACACATCACAAGTGGCTTTAATCTATTGAATAGTAGGAGGAGGTCCACCAGTGTGCCCTCTCTCATGATTCCATTTCACTCCATGAGCAGAGCAGATCAGAGTACCTACTCCAACTGGTATCGCCAAACTTCTCCACTAAGAATAATTGTTGCTTTCTTTTTGTGAATTATTAATTACAACCTTCGATTTTCGAATAGCTATATGCACAGTAAAAACACAGAATCTATAATTTTTTTTCTTATCGGAAGCAATATACAAGTTAAAGGCATCCAAATTTCGTTTTTCTTTGTGGATGTATAATGCTCGATGCTTGTAATATTGTGGAATATTCCGTAATATATTATGTAAGCAATTAGCTCCTGTAATATTCTTAATTGTCTGCCACCATATTTTGTCCTGCGCACAATATTCAATTCTTTAATTATCAAGTAAGGCATGTCATAGCCCATACATACCACACTTGGCTGTTATATATATTGAGTTTCTCATGCTGCATATGTATTTGGAACTTGAAAAGGTACTCTTGTAAGATCTCCCTCTCCCTCTCCCTGAGCAAGTCCGTTCTTTAATGGAGAAGAGCAAATCATTTTCCGGGTGCTACTCGAGCAACTACAAGGAGGTCCAACTTGGATTTGAGGACCGGTCGAAATCATATAGCTTCAATGGTCCTGTCAGCTACGGCAAGGCTGACGACTTGTCTTCAACATCTGGCAATCCAGAGCTGGAGAGAAGGAAGAGGGTGGCATCTTACAACATGTATGCCACAGAAGGTAAGTTCAAGTCGTCGTTCCGCAACAGTTTTAAATGGATCAAGAGCAAGTTTGTTGACACCTTCTACGATGAGTAATCAACTAAACTAGATCCTTTTTCTCCCTTTTTTTTTGTTCGATTTTTTACTTTGTGAAGGTCAAGTAAGGTTCCATTTACCGTATAGTTTGTGTCAAGAGCAAGGCCTAGTTAATTGTAAGGGACGATTTTCTAGGGATTGAATCCAGTGATCATATTAAGCTGTTCGTGCAGATGAGATTGCTTTGTTTTCTATGTATCAAATTTTCTTTTTTGTATATAAACATTGTGCTTTTGCTTTTCTTTTTACATATTCTACCGTTTTTCAATTAGAGATTGAACATACCAATACAAGTATTCTCTACCGAACATCTCCAAGGTACTAGGCAAATTATTTAAGGTAAATTTGTACTTCGATGGTTGATGTATCAATTTGCCATCAGGATTTGCCTTACTAAAAGTTTCACTCAAAAGGGATCAAAAGGGATAAGGTAAATTAGTGAAATTTTTATTATTTTACTATTTTTTATTTCCTCATTTTAACAATTTTATAACTCAATTGTATACATGAGTTTTCAAAATTTTACTTTTTTTTTTTAGCTAAAACCCTAATTGCTTAAGAGCAGTTCCACCCTATAGGCAATTGGGCAATATTGCTCAAATTTTGAAAAGCAAGCATCAGCCCAGCTCTAAAATTAAGGCAATTGGTGGGCCCAATTTTGCCAAACTAGCCACCCAGTCAATTCTGAGTGGATCTGAATCTGATGTCATCATGATGTCATGCTTAGTTATGTTTAATTATATATATATATTTTTTTGGGGCCATTCTTGCAATCACAGGGGCAATGTGGCCTATTTCTATGTGTTGGATTTCCAACGGTAAAAGATTTGGACCGTTAGATTTACAACGCTAAAAAAATTTGGATTCAAAACCAACTACTATTACACTGGCATGCTGTGGGCCGTTGGATTTATAATGGACATATTATCCAATTGTCCATATTAATCCCTCCTTTTAGGGTTAAATTTAAAAAAACAAATCATAAAAAGTTGAGAACTTTAACGAAAAGCACCCGGTACTGTTTACTTTAACGAAAAACCATATTTTTACACTAAAAAGTCAATCCTGGTACTATTCACTTTACCCTTTATTTTGTCCTTATCATTAAAACTCAAAGTTTTCAAGCCATTTTCATTAGTTTTCCTTAAAAAGTTCCACGGATGTGCTATGCCTAGGAGGCACAACCTGGGTTGTTGGATTGCAAAAAAAATTAATATTAAAAATATAGAAAAATTAAAAAATTAAAAATTTTCCTATAAATACTTGAAATTTAAAATAATATTATCTTTCTATTAATTTTAAAAAATAAATTTTTAATACCAATTGTGCAAACAATTCATTTACAGGGTGGAAAAGCACTCAGTCAATTACTATTATTGAGAATGAACCCTACATTGATAGAAGGAGAGACATTTCATGGCTTATAAGTAAGCCAACTACTCCATGTATTGTCAAATTAGTTTTATGGTAGAACTAGGGGTAGGCACAGTTCGATTTGGTGCAATTTTGAGTGAAACCGAAACTAAATTTTTTGTGGTTCGTTTTAGTCAGGTTTGAAGCCAAAACCAAGGTTCTAAAAAAATCTAGGCGCTAGTCAGACGGTGGGTAGAGGCCTAGCACCTAGGCGGGGCCTAGGCGGATTTAGGTATATCATATAAAATTAACTAAATTTACTATATAATATATAAATAAACCTTGAATAAAATGTTATTTTAAACAAGAATATATATAGGTAAGTATATATCTAAAATTTTAGACACCTTATGTTAGTTTTGTATCATTTTCTAAGCCCATAAGTTTTGTTGGGCCTATTATTATCATTAATAAAATGAAAGATGGGCCTTTATTCTTGTTTTTGTCAGTTTGTTACTTGCTTAATACAAACCCTAAATTATATATACTAAAACTCAGTTGATGATGGCACTGTTCAGCAATAGTAAAATGGCGGAAATACCCCTGATTTTTTCTTTGCTTAGCCGTTTTGCTGCTTCTTCCCACATTTAAAAGACGCTTTTGTCCATTACTTCCACGCGTTTGTCGTCGATGGATGCTCTCTATTTGGACCGAGTGTTTTCCATTTTTTTTTCTTGCTTTCCCTTGCCTTCTCACAGATCTAGATCTATGTTCTGTTCTTCTCGACCTTATCCTTTATCGATCTCAGTTTGTGGTGCCTCGCCGATTACGGCCTGCTCTGTTCCTCTCAAACCCTTGAAAGCATCGTCGATCAGATCTCTGTTTCGAGTTTATCCAGTGGATTTTTGTTTTTCATTCCACTGCTGTCTCTCGATTTGTATTGCCTCTCTGATTCTGGCTTTGTCCGTGTGTGTCCAACGGTAGAAACCGGCTTAAATCAATTTTCTGTGCCTTGGTTCTGCTCCTTGGGTCGCTGACCTGGAGATTCAATTATCAAAATTTTGGTGTTTTCACATTACTGATTCGAATTGGTCGTTGCTGAGAGGATCAAATTGGTGAGCTTCGGAACCAAAACCTATTTTCCTTATTTATTTCCTTGCTTTTGCCAATTATTTTTTTATATTCAACAATTTTGTTCATGAGGTTTTTATTTTGTTGTTTTTAGGTTTTTTTTGCTTTCCTATTCTTTAGCAAAGAAATTTATATTCTGGTGATTTTTTTAGGGATCCCAGGATTGAAAAAATTATGGGTTCGTAGAGGATTGAAGTGAGTGAAAGCGGGTAATCAGTCAAAGAAAGAAGTAAAATTTTCTAGGAAAGTTACGATTTTTTGTTTCATTTTCTGGGTGCCTAACACATTCAAATAGTGCCTCTGAACTTGAGCTGAAGCAGGGGGTGAATAATAACCCTTAGGTTTATTTAGATGAATAGAGTGTGTGATCAGTCTTTTGATCTTAATTTTTAATTTGACTGTTTCTATTTAGGTTAGTCTATATATATATGATTGATATTCAATTTATACATATTCATTCTTCTCATATAAAATCAAATTGGTATTGTGATTTGCTTATTGTTTGGATTTCTAATCCTAATGACTTTATATTTGATATTTAATATTTAATCCTTGGATTAGTGTTAAATTCTATATTTTTAGTTTAATTTGTGTTTTCTTTTCTGTTTTTGCAGCTCATCATCCAAGTATAAATGCTGCTGTGGAGCTGCTTAAATGAGGTCCCTTTTCGGTTATTAAAACTCAATGTTACCTGCTTTCATTTCCAATTTTTAAGTCTTCTATTTGTTTGCTTGCTGCAATTATTCAACTTAGCTGCTATAACATTTGTTTCCTTCTGTTTTGTCCTCTGCATTAACTACCATTTGGATCATGTGAATGACAACTTTCATGTATATTTCGAATAATGAGTAGTTTATTGCTGTTAATCTTTTGATCAACTTCATTTTTACAATTTTTGTCTTCTATCATTTTCTATTATGTAATTAAAATGTCATGTCCTACTGAAAAAATAATGTCACTATTGATGAACCCGCAGCATCGCGCGGGCATGAATGCTAGTAAAGTCTAAAGCTTGATAAAGCTTCTAAAAGCTATCGCCGTCAACCATTCAACCATTTCTGCAATTGCAGATCCATTTTTGCGCCTCTTCTTCCCATTCAGATTCCTCCAATCAATCCCGTAGCGGCCTCCCTCGCTCCTCCTACTTGCATGGTGCGCTGTCTCTTTCTCTCTTGCCGCTAAACCGTCCGGGCGTCCGCCCAACGTCCTTACAAACCGCCCAAGCGGCCGACTTGCGCCGCCTAATAACCTAGCGCCCAGCCGCCGCTGAGGTGGCCGCCTCAACCGTTTTTTAGAACACTGGCCAAAACCGAAATGAAAGCAAACTGTTTGGTTCAGTTTGAAGTGGTTTCAAACGATTTCGGTATGGTTCTTAAGAAAAAAATATACAGTTTTAAATTTACACCTATCGATGAATAAGACAATTTCAAACAGTTTCTGGTAAAGTTAGAGACGTGATGAGCCATGGTGTTTAAAGAATTTCCTCTATGCTAATTCACTACAAAATTCCTCTTCTAGTAGTGCTCCTACATACATATTGGGATATTGTGACGGGGGCCATTGTCATAATCTATCATGAATGTGTCTAGAGCTTTTGGGTTGTAGGCATGGGGAACATATGTATATTCTAACCAAATATAGTTGGAACGAACCGGAGGGGAACGATTTGCAGAGTTGAGGGTGAGGGCCTGAGGCCGACTGATGTGTAGAGCTTCTGTGAAGGGGAAGGATTTGCAAAGTTTCTGCTGAGACCGAGAGGCGATGTGAGCATCGAGAGCACTGAGGTCATCGAGAGAGAGAGGAGTAATGATATCGAAATTTGATATTATGTCCAAGACTAGAAAAAGATGAAATTCTTGTGTGGTTGCGTCTATATGGACTTTAACAAACAATTAATTAAAACATGACATCTATAGGTCGCACCACAATTTTATATGTCATGTTTTAAACTTTACAATGTCATACCTTAATTTACAAATTCTTTGCAATGTTAGAGTTCCTAAATTTCGGTTCCAAGTGCCCACCCCTAGGTGGAACCCCAACTTTCTTCATAGTATTAGAGTATGTGTGAAGTCAAACAACCACACACGCTCTATGTCACCTTATTGTGTTGTCCACGTGATGGCTTGAAATCACTATATGTGAGGGGTGTGTTGAGAATGATTTCTATATTGATGAGAGGAGGGACCTTGCATGAACTTATACAAGTAAGATGGATTATTTCCCATATTGCCAATTGATTTTATGGTGGAAACTTTGTTGTACTTTTATGCGCAAATGACAGCGAATTCTAATAAAATACCAAATATCAACATTGTAGACGAAAGTTAGAACAAACAATCTCAAAATAACACAAGAGATTTACGTGGTTCAACATAAGCCAACGTCCACGGGCGACAGGCGAAGCACGACAAGGATTTTCACTAAACAAATGGAGTTTACAAAATAATGTTTAACTCTCAAAACTCAATTCTCACAAATTACAAACCTTAAACCAAACAAGTAGAGAACCCATAATAAACGAAGAAGATTCTCTAAATTATTCTCTAACTCACAAATGGATTCTCACCAAATTTCCAAAAGAATGAGTCATGAGTTTGCCACACACTCATGACTCCAAAAGGTGAGCTCCACCCTAAAACCCAATTAGAGAAAACTCTCTAAACCAATGGTGACGACACACAAAATAAACTAACCCTAAGGTCTTATTTATAGTGCATATGGCTTAGGTTACCATGAGAATTCTAATCCTAGTTAGAAGTAATCCAAATACTAATCAAATAGGTAATTAACAAAATCTCACCACCAAGCAAAGAATACAACTACGAAGTCAAATCCAAATCCAAATAAGATACCAAAACAAAATGGGTGACACAAACCCAATTTCTGTATCATCCTAATTTTGATGTAAATCACAACAATCTCCACATCAGCGAGAAATTAGTAAACTTTCAAATCAATACAAACTTCAAAGTGGTATACAAAAAATACAAACGCAAACATGCACCAAATTCGTCCAGAAAGTGATCTCCACCACGACTCAAAAAGTTCAAAAGTCTTTAGAACTTGAAATTGTTTGAGAAAATTAAATATTAAAAGTTTAATTTCTAATAAGTGAATGGAAATTATAGGATTCTATTTGAACCATCTTTTGACATATGGATTCTGGTTCGCAACCTTTGTAAGCCAATCGTGGTTGTTAGACGCAACCTAGCTTTGAGAATTGCAATGGTTGTCAGACACAACCTGACTTGGAGAACTGCAACTTTTCAAAAAGGATAATACTTAGGTATTGATTGGTCGGTACCCATTTTGCTCACCAAACAATGTGGCCCACTCCAATAAAATTAGGGATGTGATATCCACATATCCTATTTTATTTCTCACACACATTTTTTATTTTTCGCTGTCGGATCGGATAAATTGAAGAAAATCAACGAACAAAAATTATTAAAGGTATGTGAGAAGTATAACAGGTTGTGTGGATAGCACACCCCTAAAATTAGGATAAATGTTGATGTTTAAGTTTTATAATCAAGTACCCAAACATACTCTTCTCTTATTAATCACGTGACCAAACAAACCCTTTCGTCTTTTCTCCAACAAATCTGAGCATCTTCCATGCAATGGCAACCATGGCTTCTCTTATCCGGCGACCCCAATGGCACGAGTCCTCTTCTTCGGCAAGAAGCGTATGAGGCGGCGAAATCGAATCAGAATTCTAGATCGTCATTGTCCTGGTCATTGACGGTAGATGAAGGCCACGACCTGAGATACCAAGCCATGGCTTTGGTGGCGGAGATTTGATTTTTCTGTCACGATTAGACCAGACTCACAAGTCTCCGTAGTGAAGGTCTGCTTCTTTCTCTTGGTTTGAATAAAAGCTGATGGACATTGTGAGGAAGAAGAAGAAGGGTGTTTTGTTGGTGGAATAGTAGAACCGTTGTGTTGGTTAGAGGGTTATGAGTAGGGATGGGCAAAATACCCACGGTTATGGGTAACTGTGGTTACAGTCTATTTAAAACTCACGGTTATGGTTATGAGTAACCGTTTAGATAAATAAACAATTATGGATATAACCATTTACCCGTGAAATTTAAATGGACGATTATGAGTATAACTCACGGTTATAAACAGGTGCCCATTTAACCTTTTATTTTAAGAAAAACTAATGAAAATGACTTGAAAACTTTGAGTTTTAATTAAAAGAACAAAAATGTGTTGTAAGTGAATAGTACCAGGAGTAACTTTTTAAAGTAAAAATGTCATTTTCATTTAAAATGAACAGTACCAGAAGTGTTTTGTTAAAATTTCCTTTATTTTAATATATGTAAGATTAAAAAAAAACATTAGCATCTAGCTAAGTTAGTATCTCGAGACATAAATGATTATGAACGGGCCATATATAATATATATATCTCTATCTATCTATATATGCCTCACTTGAGAGAAAATATAGTTGATATAAACAGGCCTATGTTTAATAAATGTGATTGAACGTGCTAAAGCATTAGAGTGTTCGAAAGTTTTGTTTTAGAGTATTTTGGAGTTTTGAATCATCTAGTATTCAAGATAATGATTACCTTGAGCCTTTAAAAGCATGTTATTGCCGGCTAATGCATACCTATATATATTAATTGAATTGATCTTGAGTTTTCAATAAATATTTGACCCAGAAATTAGAAATCGATTAAAGGGCTTGGATTGATGAACATATCTTTCTAAATAGAAATCCAAATAGTTATCAAGTTAGCTTATTAGCACACTGGTGTGTAGTTCTATATATAGAAGAATATTAATTAACCTACAACCATGCATGATTCTTGTAATAGATTGACCATCAAATAATTGGGAGACATCACATATATTCATAAACAATAATGCTATTCTTATCATGTAATTGTACCACAATTATATGTTGGATAATATAAATGATTATGATCCTAATTCACATGTAAGTTCAATCAATTAGATAATACCCAAATGCACCAAACACATATATCAATAAATAAAATAGTAAAAAGGAAAAGGTAAAGAATGATCTAGACTGTGATATCAAGACATGCGTGTTGTCATTGTCCTAAAGTCGTAGACGTCTCCTTACGTGCCAGTTATAATGGCTATCTACAACTCCAAGATACAACCTTTGAATCTCACAGAGTGTCTAATCCATAAGCACGATTACAATAGACGGGGTGCCAAGTAGTGATCAATTGCCCATTGATTATCAAGATGAGTAGGAAAATAATAAGGATTATATATGAGTGTAGTAGGGAGAGGAGGAAGACATTTGAATCTATGTTAACTTCTTTGTTCTGTTTGAGGAGTTCGCTATTTATAAAACTCTACATACCCCTTGATCAAAGATATGACTTCTCTAATGAATATGACTCTTCATATTTTTTATTTAAAATATTAATAAATAAAGTTTTGAATCTTTAAGAAAATAAATTAAATAATCAACAATCCCCCACAAGATTCAAAACTCCATAGAAATGTAGAAGAAGTAAATATATAGATATGAATGGAAGAAATTTGGGCAACTTGTATACCATGCAATAGGTGTAGCTGTCTTTTGGACTTGAACCTACACTTTGTGTTCACAACTTTCATCTGAAGGAATCATAGTGAACTATGTCTTGAACTAAACTCCTTTTGACCATAATACTAATTGTAACACACATGGTATTGATAAAAAACTTGGCGCGGGTTAGCACTATTTATGGTCATGTGCTTAATCTTGATTCTCATGAGAGTTATTAGAGAACAGCCCAATCCTCACAGTTGCAGCCTCACAACTACTCTCACTTAGGTGAGTTCTCCAAGAGTACATGTGACATGTACCCTACGGGAGATTGCCTGCCTCGAAACTCATTCAGGGTTAATACCCTT